GGGTGGCCCCGGCGTCGGGCCTCCGATGCCTAAGTCAGTGCTCGGATCAAGAGAGAGATAAAGTGTAGTAATGGAATGAAGAGAGGATAATGTATGAATGAGGTACCTTGGCCCCCCTTTTATAGGGGGAGTGTACCTTTGTAGGCTCAATATGAGCTTGGCCCATAATGTTGGGCTTGGACGTCTTAGTGTGCTTATCTTCTAAAATGTATCCGCTTTATCCATTAAACCAGGTCCAGTATAATATCCTATATCAAGAGGGTAGAGATTCGAATGGGGAGAAGAGGGACGAGTGGCAGAGGAGGCCATTGATGTTCGAAAGACAGAGGTATCATAATTTTACACCCTTGAGGAAGGACTTGACGGAGGTGCTCGAGGCTATGGAGCAGAAGATGTCGAGCGAGGATGTGATCTGGCCGAAGACGAGGTTTCAGGCCCAATTCGACCTAGGTCGGATATTTACTGCCGTTTTCACCGAGATTACGGTCATACCACGGAGAACGTAGACATTTGAAGGATGAGATCGAGAGGTTGATTCAGGATGGGTACCTGAAAGAGTTTGTGTATCAGGATAGAGCAAAAGGGAAAGGAAGGAGAAGGTGTCAGGAGGATTCGGAGGAAAGAAGTGACAGGAACGAGGAAGGAGGCGACGGAGATAGTCGAGATGGTTGAGAAAAGAAGCCGAGGAGAGATGGCGATAAGGGAGGGCACGGAGGAGAAGCCCCGATGAAGAGAGGGACGATTTACATGATTTCTGGGGGGCCAACGGATGGTGAGTCGAATAGGGCCAGGAAGGAGCATGCTCGAGCTGTGAAGAGGAAAAGAGAGGAGGTGGGGATTACGACTCGTATGCCGGTGATAAGTTTTAAGGCGGAGGATGCCGAGGGAGTGGTCCTACCGCACAACGATTCTTTGGTGATAACCGCGGAGGTTGCAGGCTTTGACGTGAAGAGGGTGTTTATTGATACTGGGATTTCGGTAGACGTGATGTTCTATGACTGTTTTGTGCAAATTAATAAGGAGTTGAATATGGAGCTGAAGCCGGTGACCACGGCGCTTTATGGCTTCAATGGAGGAGAGGTGGTGCCGATGGGCGAGGTAAGTTTGCCAGTGGCGTTGGGAGCGAGAGAGCTGAGGAAGGTGCGCATGGTGAGGTTTGTGGTCGTAGGAGCTGAATCATCTTATAACATCATTATGGGGAGGACAAGCTTGAATGCGTTCCAGGCGGTCGTATCCACGTACCACATGACGATCAAGTATCCTGTGGGTGAAAACGTAGGGGAGATTACCGGGGATCAACTCACTTTGAGGAGCTGCTATCAAACAACGGTGATCAATAACAAGCAACTGGCGAAGAGGCAGACCAAGTCGAAGGAGGAGGAGGTTAATCGACTAGGTGGATCGAGGTCAAAAGAGGATAAGCAGAGAATGGAGAAGGTTAAGGAGAAGATGGATATCTAGCCAGGGGGAGAAGTTGAGGAGATTCAGATGATCGAGGGCTGTGAGGAGAGGAAATTCAGAATCGGGAAAGACCTGGAGGAGCCTATTCGGTCGAGGCTGATTGATCTGGTTAGGGAGTTCGCTTACATTTTTGCCTATACAACGGAGGAGTTGATGGGGATAAGTGCAGAGGTGATCGAGAATCGGCTGAACATCGACCTCAGTGTGAGGCCGGTGAAGCGGAAAATAAGGCACCATGGCACGGAGATGGACAAAATCATTGAGAAAGAGGTCGAGAAGCTATTAGGAGCAGGGCATATCAAGGAGATCCAGTTCCCCGAATGGTTGTCGAATACAGTGATGGTGTCGAAGGCGGAGGGAAAATGGAGGATGTGCATTGATTTCAGTGAGATCCAGCTGGTCGACTCAACGGCGGGGTGCGAACTGCTGAGCCTGATGGATGCCTCCCAGGGATATCATCAAATTCCCTTGGCGAGAGAAGACAAGAAGCGGGTGAGTTTTGTAATGAGTCGAGGAACCTATTGTTACGTGGTCATGCCGTTCGGCCTAAAGAATGCAGGCGCCACATATCAAAGGTTGGTCGATAAAATCTTTAAGGAGCAACTGGGGAGGAACATGGAGGTGTATATGGATGATATGTTGGTGAAAAGCAAGGAGGAGTTGGATCATGTGCGAGACTTGAAAGAAACTTTCTCAACATTGCGGAGGTATGGGATAAAATTGAATCCAACTAAGTGCTCTTTCGGGGTGAGGTCGGGAAAATTCTTGGGTTACTTGGTGATTAAGAGAGGTATTGAAGTGAATCCTGAAAAGGCTCGAGCCGTAATGGAGATGAAGCCGCCGATGAATGTTAAGGAAGTGCATATCTTAGCTGGTCGAATTGTGGGGCTGAGTCGTTTCATATCAAAGGTGGCGGAGAAAAGTGGCCCATTATTCAAAACACTGAAAAAGAGCTCAAAATTTCAGTGGACGGAAGAAGCACAAAAGGCGTTTGATGAGTTGAGAGGGGTGCTGGCTGACCTTCCCCTGTTGGCTAAACTCGTACAAGGCGAAGAATTGGTGTTGTATATTTCCATCAGAGAGAGGGCTGTGAGTTCAGTGTTGCTGCGAGAAGAAAGAGTAGCACAGTTCCCTATCTATTACATAAGCAGGGTGATGTAGGGTGCAGAGATGAGGTACTCAGAGATCGAGAAGTGTGCTTTAGCTGTGGTGGTAACTGCTCGAAAACTGAGGCCTTATTTCTTGAACCATAAAGTGAAGGTGCGAACGAACATGCCATTAGGGGAAACACTCGGCCGGCCATCGGTCTCTTGTCGATTAGTAAAATGGGCAGTTGAGCTGAGTGAATACTCATTATCGTATGAGCCGAAGAGGGCCATAAAGGCGCAGGTGTTGGCAGATTTTATTCAAGAAAGCACTAAGGTCGATGAGGAGTCTGGAGGAGTGTGGCAGTTATTCGCGGATGGGTCTGTAGCCAGAAGTGGGGCTGGATTAGGAATTGTCCTTGTTTCTCATAAGGGCGATAATTTGGAGTTTGCGGCCAAAGTGGGGTTTTAAATATCTAACAATGAGGCTGAGTATGAAGCGGTGATCAAAGGCCTGCGGTTAGCCATGGCAGGAGGAGCTCGAAAGGTGCTGGTACATTCCGATTCCCAATTGGTAGTCGGGCAGTTCCAGGAGGGATTTGAGGTTAAGGAGGATCAAATGCAGAAGTATGTAGATGAGATGAAGAAATTAAAGAAGGAGTTTGAGTCGTTCGAGCTTATACAGATCCCTCGAGGAGAGAATGGCCGAGCAGACTTGCTAGCGAAAATTGCTCAAAGTTTGGTGGACTGTCGGAGTAGAAGTGTCACTCTATTACACTTGGAGAGGAGTGAGGTCGAGGCGGAAGTGGCAGAGATCGAAGAGGTGGAGGATTGGAGAGCCCCGATCTCAAAGGAGCTGAA